CCATGTTGGTCAGGCTGGTCTCAAACTCCCGACCTCAGGTGATCCACCTGCCTAGGCCTCCCAAAGTGCTGGGATTACAGACGTGAGCCACCGCGCCCAGCCCAGAATATCTTCATTGTCCCCAAAGGAAGCCCGGACCCCATCAGCCTTCACTCCCCATCTCCTGTCCTAGGACCTGGCACCCACACATCCCCTCCTGTCTCTGTGGACTGGCCTGTCCTGGACATTTCATAGAAATGGGATCACCCACTGCATGTCTTTTTTGCCTGGCCTATCTCATTGGGCATGAGGTCCTCAGGCTGCATCCACATTGTGGCCCGTGTCGGAGCCTCATCATTCCTTTTCATGGCTGAGAAATATTCCAGTGTGTGGAGGAATCACACTGTGTGTGTTTATTCATCTGTGGATGGACATGTGGGTTGTTTTCACCTGTTGAGTTTGTAAAGCTGTACAACTGTTTGTGTGGGCGTATGTTTTCATTTCTCTTGGGCGGAATTGCTGAGTCTATGGTGACTCTTTGTGTAACAGTTTGAGGATCCACCAGACTGTTTTCTTTTCTTTCTTTCTTTTTTTTTTTTTGAGATGGAGTGAGATGGAGTTTCACTCTTTTTGCTCAAGCTGGAGTGCAGTGGCGTGATCTCGGCTCACCCCAACCTCCACCTCCCAGGTTCAAGCGATTCTCCTCCCTCAGCCTCCCAAGTAGCTGGGATTACAGGCGCGTGCCACCACGCTTGGCTAACTTTGGTATTTTTAGTAGAGACGGGGTTTCACTATGTTGGCCAGGCTGGTCTCAAACTCCTGACCTCAGGTGATCTGCCTGCCTTGGCCACCCAAAGTGCTTGGTTTACAGGCATGAGCCACTAGGCCCGGCCGACCAGACCGTTTTCTACATCAGCTGCACCTTCTTGCATTCTCACCCACCCTGTGTGTGGATCATGGCCTGACTTTTGGGCCTCTAGCTCTGCCATTATCATCCAGGCCGCCCCCAGCTTGAGCTTAGCCTCTCTTAATCCACCCCTGCCCCGGATTTGCAGGTCACTACTGGGTCTTTATTCCAGCAACCCAGATGCCCTTTCTTCTGTCATAAAATCCACTCCTGAGCCCTGTCCATCTCCTGATCCCCCATGTATCTGCCCCACACCTCCAATTCTCTCCTCCCCCAAATCCGCCCTGCCAGGCACTGGCCCCCTTCCTTGAGCCACAAACAATGTCTGCTGGGCTAATCCCTGCTCAGTCCTCAGGCTGACTTGGCCGTCTGGTGGCATCACATAGCCACTCCCTCCCTCTGCCCCTAGACACCTTCCTCGCCGGGTTTCCAGGACACCTGGCAACCTCGTGCCCTTTATCCTATTTAAGGAGCACTTATGCAATGCTGGTGCCAGGCGCTGCTCTATGTACACTGCAATTATTAGCCAATGATCCTGAGAAGTGGGTGCTGTTCTTGTCCCTGTTTTTTTTTTTTTTTTTTCTTTTTTTTTGAGACAGAGTCTCACTCTGTCGCCCAGGCTCCAGCCTGTTGCCCAGTGCAGGGCCGGATCTCGGCTAACTGCAAGCTCAGCCTCCCGGGTTTACGCCATTCTCCTGCCTCAGCCTCCCAAGTAGCTGGGACTACAGGCGCCCGCCACCACCGGCTAGTTTTTTTGTATTTTTTAGTAGAGACGGGGTTTCACCGTGTTAGCCAGGATGGTCTCGATCTCCTGACCTCGTGATCCGCCCGCCTCGGCCTCCCAAAGTGCTGGGATTACAGGCGTGAGCCACCGCGCCCGACCTCTTGTCTCTGTTTTACAAGGCAAGGGAGAGGGGAGGCACAGAGAGGTTGAGTAACCTGCCTGAGTTCACACAGCCAGGTCTGTAGCTCGGGGGCTGCTCCAGTGTCTGTCCTGAGTCTCCCCTCCTGCTGGTGCCTCCTCTCTTCTCCGGGCTTCTGAACACCAGCAGGGTTGGACTCACTCTCCCGGGCTCTACTCTGTTCCCAGGACGTGGTCCAGGCTCCCGGCTCTAATCTCCACCACGTGGCCACCCTGCCTGCACGTCCATCCCCCCAGACTTTGCCCTGAATTGCCGAGCTCACCTCGACCTCCACGCCTCCACCGTCCCACCCTCTTCCCACTCTGACAGGGACAGCTTTGTCCCCTCTTCGCCCTCTTTTTCTCACCCTATGGCACCCTCCCCGCTCTGTGCTTGCCCCTGCCCTAGACGGAGCCACGCCAACCTGTGACCAGTTCGCCTTCCCAGTCCCTCCCTGGTCTCTCGCTTCTGCCCTG